TTGCCAAATTATCAGTCTTTCTTCTAAGAATGGTTGTCCTTCTGTTCATCTTGGTCCTTGATACGTTTACTGTCACTTTCCAAAACGTCTTGGTTGCGCGTCCGTATTTGTGAAGACGGACGGGAATGCGGGCGCCCCAGGCAGGGGGAGGGCGTTCTCCACAGTGGGCAGGGTGGCCCGGAGCACGTCAATTCTGTCCCTCGCGGTCAGAGCTGCCTCTCCGTGCATCTAACTGGCTTTCTCCGTGACCACACGGAGCTCTGGGTTCCCCGTCCACGCCCTTCTCTGTCAGGTTTCAGCGTCCACATCAGGAGGTTCTGCCTTCCCAGGAGTGTTGCTACTTTCCCCGTGGTGTTGGCGGGTGGGGGGGACCCACTGGCCAGCTCCACTTGTATGTGACCTCAGTGGCTCTGCCTGCAGCCACAGCTGCCCGATGGAGCTCAGGTCTCACCTCAGGCTCGGTCGTCACTCGGGTTCCGGTTTACTTGTGACCAGAGCGTGGGCTCGGGCATCAGTACTCGGGGCAGCCCCGTATGGTCAAGGTTTCCCTTTCAATTTTGACAGTGGGTCCCCCCCTGTTTCCCAAGCCCAAGGATGGCTGTAAGCCCATCAGATCCCCAACATTTCCTTGTAGGAAAGGCGCTCACCCTTCCAGTCCTGGCCAATCCCCGAATACTGAACAGAAGCCCCTCCCTGCAGTGACATTCTGCCCAACAGCACCCTCTGTTCCTATCGTGCCCACTTACAGCTTCAGGGGTCTTATGTGCCCATTTATCTTGACTCCGCCCCCCATCGAGTGTCATGGCCCCACACCCCTGCCCCCGGGATCTCCAGAGCACTAGTCCGGCCTGGGCACACAGCTGGCGCAGTGAGCAAGGAAAGGGAAGGGCACAGGAGGCGGAGCAGTAAGAGACCCCCCCTCCGAGGGTCTGGCGGGCACTAGGTTGGCGCTGGCCCACAGGCAGGCACCGCAGCACCTGACACATGGGACACACTCTGACCGTGCGCTGGGAAGTCAAGGGCAAGTCCGGATGGCCAGCCCAGCTCATAGCAGCTCAGCACAGCAGCCGGATACAAAGAAACACAATGAGGAGCTGGCTTATTTCCTACCAATTAGATGATGTGATTAATATATGTCCCCCCAAATGAGTGTCACAAGTCACCAAAAATTATACACTGACACACTATATTAACAAGGTGTCTACAGGAGCTAAATGGAGAGAAGTGTTCAGCTTTACTAAGGGACAGAAAATTAAGTTGGGTAGAAAGGGGAAGGAAGCATGTTCACGATGGGAAGGAAACTCTTGATGGAAAAGCCGCCGGCCCTCCACCACTCACCGGCAGGGTGAAAGCAGGGGCCACTGCGGGCATGTGGGCTTATTTTTAGGGGGAAGGAGGGGATTTCAAGTTACTTTGAAGTTTACTGGAAAAAGTGTGGCCATAGTCAAGGACAACCGAGGGACAAAGGAGCAATGCTGAACTACGTCGTGCCACCAGATACACACAGAGGCAAGATCCGAGACAGAGTGGCGAGCACCCATCGGGTTGGACAGGCAGCAACAGCACGCTGAGCAGACCGCGGAGCGGGCCCCTGAGCTCAGAACACAGCCCGTTTGACGAGATGGGTTAGTTGTACAATACAGGGGCCAGCGCAGTCAACAGGGAAAGAGAGCCCATGGAAAGGACAATCAGTTACCTATTCGAGTCAAGTGTAATGAGATGTCCTACAGCACAAAAGAGACCTAAACAAATCAAAGGTGGATTAGTGGTTAAACTTTTCTTAAAAAAGATATCGATGATATACAGTCATTCATGACACTATTATTTCAACTCTTCAGTGTTTGAAATCTTTCATAACAAAAGTTGGAAATGTCAAAAAAAAAGGAAAAAAAACAAAAAGGTAAAACTCAGAAATACTTATATGTGAATTATGATCAGATTTCAAGAGTGTTAAAGTCTCCCTAGACATCTAAAGTAGAAACCGCGGAAAGGAAAAGGCATGCTTTTATTATGTATTAAAAGGGGAAACCTCTATAGAAAAACAAGACCACGTGGTATGAAAAATGAATAAGGAACCAAGGGAATACCTGCAAAACATATTACAAGGGGTTGATACCCCCTAACACACAAAGGTCTCTTATCAGCAAGAAAAAACAAGTCCCGACAGCAGGACACGGGCAAAGGATGGCTGAACAACTACGACCTGAGTAAAACAGACGACCGATGAACACGTGCGGTGTTCAACCTCACTTCCAATTGAAGAAATCCCAATGAACAAAGCAGGAGGTATTTTTAACTCCTTACTGGATTAGCGTAGAGTCTAAAAATGATATTTAAGTAATAATGCTGCCAAGTGTATGGGCGGAGGGGCGGCGTCAAAGGGGCACTCCCTTCGTGGATGGAGGGCTAGTGTATTCAAAACCATTCTAGAAATTCATTTGGAAATACAGATCATGCCCACTGACTGAGCCACGTGGCTTGCGGATGTTAAGACAATAATAAGTGTCAGGCAGAAAGACCTAGGTACATGTGAGCATCGGGCCTCTGTGAGTGGAAAGTTACCAGAAGGACAGGCCCAGAGGAGCGTCCAAGTCAACAGCATGAGATGAGAAAATGTGTAGAAAAGCAGCAGCTGGAAAAGTGCAGACCACATCCAGGGACCTGGCGCTCTCACGCAGAGCTGCAGGGTGCGGAGGGGCAGAGAGGACACAGCAGGGTGAGTACCGCATCGATTCTTTGAAAAACAGCTCTAAAATAACACACATCACTAACACCTGTTTTTAGTGAAAAGCCCACCACTTAATAATAGTATCAATTAACTTCTAACTGAACGCGCTGCCCGGGAGCCTCCCCCGTGCGCGAACACGCTCTGAACACCACAAGGCGGGTCGCCCTTCTTGGACACCAGCCGATGGGGTCACCTGCACACTTTGCCGGGGGAGCCGCGTCCCTGCACTGTCACGGTGACCATGCAGCACTGGCTCCCCTGAAGTGCCACCTGGGAGCCAAAGAAAAAGGAAAATCAGCCAGCCCCTCTGCGTGGGGGAGAACTGGAACCTGGTGCAGGCTGGAGAGGGTGCGCTGTGAGGAACTCAGGGTGTGACCCGGGAACGAGGTTTCAGCTGCACCTCAAACCCCACCCCCCCACTCCATGGTGAGAGTCTTAAAGAGACCAGGCCTGGCACTGGCACAGGGTGGGGCAGCGGAGACCGCTGGTCTGCAGGCCAGGCCCCGGCCGTGCATAAGCGACACCTCATCCCGGGGGCCGGGTGGAGTCGCAGCCCGGCCTCGGGCTGGGCGCCCTGCCCCTGCACCCCCAGGGACAGCTGCCTACACACCCCACCCCTGGTCTTCAGGCCCAGACGGCTCTGACCTCGAGCTGCCACACTGACTGGTCCACCCGTCCCTCTGCACCGCGCCAGGGGTCACCTCCTGTGCTCCTGTTCCCAAACCCACTGAACACGCCATCCGGGCCTCCTGACTTGAACAAACACATGGATGGATGCGACCAGATGGGTTAGGAGGACAGGGGGTGGGGGCAGCTGGTGAGAACGTGACTGCCTGTCCGTTCTGGAGTTCGGGGACCCATTCTCCACAGCACGCCCAGCTCGAGGCCCCCACTAGGTGCTCGGTGAGGCTTCCCGAACTAACAAACACAAAGTAACAAAGATATGTGCTTTGCATTGGCCGTAGAGTGTTTTCTTGGGCACTTCCTTTGTCTCTTCCACTCCTGCAGCCTTAGCCCACCACCCTGAAAAGGGAAAGGCCACGTGCTTCTTTGGAGGACCAGCAGGTCACCAGACACCAAGCCAAAGCAGCTTTCGTCCCCTTTCTGGAATGAACTCATGTCTCTGTGAGCAGAAAGCCCCTGTTCATTTTGATGAGTAATAACCGATGACATCTGCGTCATCCTTTGGGAGTTTCGGGCACTTTCGCATATGCCACCTCATCTACCAGCATGTCGGTGACGTGCGCGGTCTGGGCCAGGCCGATCGGGAGATGATGCGTGCGCGGTCGGTTACCTGCCCAACGACCCTTGGCATTGGGAAGCAGAACCCCAGCTCACGGACCCCAAGTTCTTGCTCCTTTTTATGGTCCCGATTTCACTAATCGGTGCTGCCTACACCTCTGACCGGTGGGTTCAGCCTCCCCTGACCCCTTCTTCAAAGCACTCCACATTCCAGAAAGGGGGGACGCAGCGCCCTCAAGAGGCAGAGACACAGGCAGAAGCAAGTGCAGGGGGAGCTTCATCCTGAGAAGACTGGACGGGGCGAAGAGAAGAAAGGGCTTCTCGCTAGAGACGGACACACAGAGGGTCCCCACGTGGCAGGCGCTGGGGTGTGCGCAGCAGGACCGAGTGGCCCACACCTCCCCTGGGACATGTCCCCGTGGGCAGAGCTGACAGCTGGAGCGTCATCACTGGCATGGGCTCTTAGCCCAGAGTGAACCGTAACTTCTGAATGGTCTGCGACCACCAACAATGTCTCAACACCTCGAATTACAAGAACACACCGATTTTCTTTGGTGCTAAATTAAAAAGCAAATTCCCCCTTAAAGAGAGAGTGAAGGACGCTAACACTGTGATAGAGAACGACCTACCAGTAGCACCGCAAAGCCGAGAGAACTTGAACCTCACACGGGTTCCTAATCTTGCTCCCAAAGGCCTTTCCACTTCTACACACTTGGCCCCTACAAGGTCGTTCACACAAAACCACAACACTTGAACAGTTCTGCCATATGTTTTTCCAAAGGCCCTTCCATCCTCACCGGGGGTGACATTGCACCTGCAACCGCCCAGCTCATGGACGGCCTTTTGGCCTAGTTTGTGTGGTGACAACTCAGAGCGCCAACGCTGGCTTGCTGGCCTGGCAGCCAGAGCCCACAGTGTAGGGGGAGGGGTCAGAGGGAAGAGATGAGGCTCCTGAACCTCCGCCTGCAATGCAACGGTCAGCGTCCCCACGAACACCACAGCCCAGCCGGCGCGCCCTCCGTGATCTTACCGGGACTCGGCGAGATGTGTAAAGTGCTCATGTCCTTGGACAGGCCGTTGGCTTTGGGGCTGGAGATGGGCGCGCAGGCCGATGTGGCTCGGGGTGGCCTCTTCCCGGGGACCTTCACGGTGGTTCTCAGGAGATCGATCTCTTTGCCGTGGACGTTCTGCATGTAATCCTGTGCAAACGTCAAACACCCAAGAGAGATTACAAAGGAGGCCTTCCGGCACCTGGGACCAGACCCTCTGTTAGGCACCAGGAGCCGTGACCCCACGCCCTTTCTGCCTGGGCAGGCGCTTTGGAAACAATGAGGCCTTGACCTGTCTCAACCTTCAATGCGGTCGGAGCCCAGCCTCCAAGTCCCGAGCTAGCCCAGGCCCTGGAGAGACCAGGAGACAGAGTATACGCGGCCATCGAAGGGGGTAAGAACCAGATGGGGAAGAGCAGGGACAGAAGTCATCTAGTCTGAACCGCTGCCCATGAGACCGCACGCCGGGAAGCTGGGCCGTCCTGGGCCCCACCTGCTTGCGAAGCAGGAGTGGTTTGGCAGCGGCCGTTCTGTCTTAGACGGCGATGCCCTTACCATCGGGATAACACTGAAGCTGCCTGTGGGGAAGTCGGGTGAAGAACCCAAGTAATGGTCCAGCCAGGAAGATGGGTCAAAGCTCAGTGGGGCGGCGCTTGAAGGCCATGGAGGTTGCGGGTGGCAGGGTGTCCAAAGGGAAAGCGCATCGTTTGGGACTTGGGTGTTCTGCTTCTCCACGCGGTGCACCGCGCTCCACCGAGTACCAGCTGCGCCCCACGCAGTGCAGCGGAAGGACCAGCAGGTATCAGGCCAGCCCAGGTGGTGACTTGCTCACGGTCCCTGTGGACATGTCACTGCGTCCTCACTGCACACCAGGAAGGGGTACTTTCCAGTCCACACTGTGGGGGAAGGGCACACCTGGTGCTGTAAGACTTCGCAGGAAATGGAATGAACAGATCCCATCCTTGCAGAATCTTACGGGGGTCCCTTTTAGAGTGGAAGAGGAAGCCCCACTGATGTGCATTCCGTAGAAGCAATTAAGTTCAGGCCAAGGCCATTTTGCAAGAACTGCCAACACCTGGGTGGTTGGAAAATGGGCTGTTTGCTCATATCTGCTGAGCAATGGCTGACCAATGCAGAGAGAACGAGGTAAGTTCTAGCAGCCCCATGGAGACCCCAGCCTGTGGGAGGAGGCAAGTCAGCCCAGGTGTCTCAGGGACACTCCAGGGGCCCAGCCAAGATTAGCACCGCTGAGGTTCCTGGGAAGAAGGTGGAGGATCTTTGTGTTATAGGACAGCGCCTGCCCTCCGGCAAGCAGAGGGACTGTGAAGTGGTCACTGCGTTATCCACAGGCAGGGCGTCGGCGGACAGGACTGATGCAAACAGGACCCCGAAGCACAGACTTCCAACATGGGGGAAGGAACCTGCCTGAGAGTGAGGCCTCAGGACAGAGTGTGGAAGAGCTGCCCCCTGCCTGCCATCTTTGGTGCGGGGGCAGCCTCAGGGTCCAGAGAGGACACCCCACCCACCCCGCAACCCAAGCAGTTAGAGGTGGGGCTGCCCTGAAGCCAGACTAGACTCAGGAGAGGGTAGACAGTTTCTCCATGGAGGGAGGAGGGTGACGGGAAACTCGATCATCTGAGGGCCTGGCCACCTTGGGAGAGGAGTTGCCGTGGAGATCACAGAACCCTGGAAGGCTCACCAAGTGCCGGCCCAGCAGAAGCCATGCTCCCCGGTCCCCGGTGACTTCCTAAGGGCAGACGTCCAATGGCTAATTCTTAGCATGGAACAACAGCTCCAAAATCCAAGGCCAGGGCTGGGAGTGATGTGGGCGGCGGGGAAGTGGAGACAAGGCTGCTAAGCAGGCCAGCTCAGCAGAGCTCTTCAGAGGGAGGGGTGAGCTGAGCCTTCCTCATTGGCCCCGGCCACGCCCACCCCAGGTGGCTCAGGGAGGGTCACCCCCAGGTCCCCTGGGCAGGGGGCCAGTCACAGTCCCCTTGGAGGCGGGTTGTGGGTTTGGGGCAGAGGAGGCTGGATCCAGCTGGGAACAGACCAAAGACTTCACATGGAAATCAAGATGCTTGGAAAACTCTCTTAAACATAACTGACCAAAAAGCCACGGATCCCAAAGGATACCAGGCCGAAGATGAAAAGAAATGATCATTGAATCAGAGGGCGGGACCAGGCAGCGTGGAGGCAGGGCAGGCAGACTCACGACTGAGTTCCATGTGTAGGGACGGGAAGGAAAAGCACGTCAAAGACAAAGTGACCTTTGCTTGGTGCAGGCCTAAGGTCAAGGTCTTTAAAAAGGTCATTCCTCCACATCTTTCACTTACTTCCATTAACACCCGCTGCAAATATGCCAAGTTCCAAAACCGAAGTTAAGGCTTGTAAGTGATGAATCCCTCCTCGTACAGCCACTCCTTTAAAAATACCAACTTGCTATAACTTTCTTCTTTAATGCCGATTCTTAACAAATTAAAATACAATAACAGGAGTGTAATTGAGCATTTATTGCTTATGGGCTCCAAAATGAGGCTAATCAGAGAGCGACTAAGCCGCAGCATGCTCTCTTTTAATAGGCACGTTTCAGCATACGATAACCGGGACACATCTAAAATCATCACAGACAGCACCCCCCACCCCGTGCCCGCTTCCCGGGCCTGAATGTGCCCAGCGACCACACTTCTCTCTGGCTCAGCACAGACCAGGGGACCAGTGCTCTCCCCTGAGTTATTTAGGCGCTGAAATGTCACAAGAACTAGATGCGAAAAAAAAAACAAACAAAAAACCAAACCCAGAATATACATTTGCCCATTTTTATATTTCGAGCCACTACGATCTGTAGAAACTTCACAGAAGGCACGTTCAGCGCCACGCAAGCCCCCGCTGGTGGCAGGCGGGGGCGTGAGAGCCTGCGGCTCCTGGTCTCCCCCGAGAGGAGCAGCAACATCGAGTCTCCCGTGTTTGGAAAGACTCATCCTTCTCGTCTCTCCCGGGCCTGGTGCGGGAGGAGCTGCGGGCACAGCCGCTCAGACGCGGGCTGTGCAGCGCGGTGGGTCTGAGCCGGGGACCTCCCCGGGTAAAATAAAGACAGCACGCCTGATTTTGATATGCAAATGTGACAGATACTACCCTTCTCCCCAGTCCTGGTATGAAATGCTGATCACAGATAAAAGGGGAAAAACCCTTTAACAAGGCATAAGGGTAATTCAAAGCCAAGTACTTTTAAACAGCACTTAACAAGTCCCCGGGGCCCACTCAAGAGCCAGGCCCCCCAGAGGTGGCATCTCCTGCCCCTCAACAGCTTGAAGAAGTAGTAATTGCGAACCTATTTGCATTTTTCTCAACTTGTCCATGCTCATCGCATGGACCGCGCCCTCCAAGCCGTGCAGGAGCGGAGGGGCCCGTCCAGTCCGGCCGCGTCCCTCCGCACCCGGCTCCGCACCCTCACCATCGCCTGTTTTCCCGCATCCCACTCCTAATTATGTTGCATCTATTGCCGTACACTTAATTAGCTGCATTAATGTGATTTCTTTTCACATAGTCAAGCAATTAAGAGCTATGATTGAGTTTCATTCAATTAGCCTCAACAAACATGCTAATTGATGTCCCAGATGCAAATGAGCTGCAGTGAGAGAAACCAGCGAGCAAACTAGAGCTCGGCAGAGACCCTGCATTCGGCCGGCTGCCACCGAGGGGGCCATGGGGTCGTTAGTGCCTCTGTGTGCCCGGGGTCCCTGACAGGGAGAACTGATTGGCTGGCTCTGTACCACGCTGTCCTAAAACCTCACAGTCCTGTGTCACCAGCACCAGACACCCTTTAACTGGGTCACACCGAGCTCCAGCACGGAGACGGCCCTGCATCCGCATCAAAACACCACACGAGGCTGCTTTAAAAAAAAAAAAAAACACCACAACAAATAAAAACCCAAAACCCCAAACCGCAGGCGTTCTCCCCCTAACCACAGCAGGGCAGGGGAAGATGCTGATGTCCAGCCCCAGGCATCCAGGGGCCTTCTCCTCGTGGGTTGGCCTCCGCGGCTCTCAGTAAATGGCGAGTCCGTCTTAGTCAGCTCTGGGGCACCTGGAACTTCAAGTTCAGCTCCCACCACAGCGATCCATCAGCAGCCCCTAAAAACACCCTCGTGGTACTGATTCGCATGCCTTCTGTCCACATTACCCCTGGCTGTCTGGTGACAGATGGTGGGCTTGGTGTGTGTGTGGAGGGTCCCCAGAGTGGGAACAGGGTCTTACGGCTGACCTGAAAGGCACAGACGGAGCAACCGGCCCCTCGGAGGCGGGCACGTTGGGAAGTGGCCTCTGCAGGTGCAGAGGACGCTCTCCACATCGCTCCACAGTCACGCACACTTCCGGGTGGTACTGAGACGCCGCGTCTGCGTCACTCAGTGGTGGGGCAAAGAACACAAGTCTTCATTCCAACGAGGCTTCCCCAGTAAGTGCTGATTTCGACCTGTGCCCAAACGCCGGGACACCGAGTGTTTTACATTTGTGGGTACAATTGGTGTCTGAGCTATGCAACTCAGGACGAACCAGTGTGTGTTTGCGTCTTTTCACCAGTCAGCCCGATTGGGCTTTTCCTCTTTGCACAAACTCTACAGTCTTCAAACTGTGACCCTGGACACCCTACTGGCGGGGGAGGGGGGTGGGGTGGGGGGTGGCACCGTAAGTTCAATCCTCTTTTTAAAATAATTCCACGCCGCCGCCTGCCTTTCTGCTGCGCTGAGCTTAGCTCCGATGGTGCGGAAGTGACGGCACTACGACTGCAGGCCCCTCAGTGCGCATGTGGCAGGGGCGCCGGGCAGCACCGCTCCAGCTGCGCCTGTATCATCGCCACGCTCTCTGAACAGGAATGAGAGCAGCTTCACCTCCCCGATGTTCTTAAGAATCCCGTCCCCCCAAAAGTGGATTCTAAAACAATTTCAACCCTTGGGCACGTGTCCTGCCAGTTCTCAGGCAGTGACGGGGAGGCCCAGAGAATGTTTTGGCCTCCGCTGGGGTGGGGTGCTGACGGTACCTGCAGACAGGCCCTTCCCAGCGTCTGGAGCTGCGAGCTGAACTGGCCTCCCTGCTGGACCCATTTACTTGAAGAAACAAAGACATCAGACTTTAATAGTAACTACCCAGTCTTG